TTTTTGAAAATGGTGATAATAATAATAAATTGGCTATCAAAATGGATGACTGATTGATTTATTGAAATGTTTCCCCTTATATTGGATCACCTTACAGCAGCAGTTTACTCTTATTTAGACACTTTTATCAGAGTTATCCATATTTTAAGATTTGAACAACGTCTAATTGAACATATACACATTTCTTTAAATTGTAGTTCCTGAATCAAAAAGTAGAAGGTGATTCATTATAATTATTCTGCTTACTTAAAAGTGATATTGACTCGACACATTGAATAGACGAATACATTATTGACAAGGAAGCCAATCACTGCACTTAGACAGGCCGCAAACACATGGTTCTGATTGGCTTCCAACGATTCCTGCGAGCCTGAGTGAATATTTTGTCAAGACTTTCACTAGAATTGTCAATAATTTATTGGTCAATCGATGAATTGCATCAGCATAAGTTTAATGTCTAAATGCAGTTAAGAGCGAGGCATTAAGTCCTCTGCATTAATACCAACCTGAAGCTCCATCACGACGTAGTTGAAGCGGTCGTTGCGGCCACATCCCACAAAGCGACACACGTGGTCTTTGCCTAGGGGAAAAAAAGGAAGAGTCTCAAGATTACTTTCGGAGGGGAAGGAGAGGTGACTTTTACAGCATAATTTGATGGTAAGATGTGTCGCGCTGTGTGAATCATGATGATGTGCATGTTCATATTTCTCTGCCCTCTACAGCTCACTGCCCTTCCATCACCAGCGGCCCTGTGCTGTACGACTCCCTGCTGATTTATCGGCTATGGCACACAACGCCGGGTCCATACGTGAATACATAGTGTGTGTGTGTGTGTGTGTGTGTGTGTGTGTGTGTGTGTGTGTGTGTGTGTGTGTGTGTGTGTGTGTGTGTGTGTGTGTGTGTGGTGTCTGAAAGGACATTGCTGCAATAGAAGCTAGACAGCAGCCACACCCCAAACCCTTACGCTTGAAGTGAATGCAAACAGCTATTAGCCAAACCCCCCAAGGTAAAACAAGTACATTTAGAAGAGGATATTTATTCCAGTTTGTCTTCCTATAAGGTCAATGTTTACTGTGTACATTTGGGTGGGTCAGCAATGTTTCTATGAAGGGGGGAGTTGGAGGTTGGAGTTAAGCCTGTCTCAAGTTACATGTTGGTTCCCCAAGGAAGCACCCAACACATGATGCCTGAGGCCGCAGCCATTAGACAGCAAACATGATCCCAGCCCATTGATTTCCTCTCAGAGCAGAGAGAGAAACGAAAAGGGCACATTGGTCAAAAGGCAGGAAGGAAGAGGGGAGGGGGGAAAGACACAGTTAAAAACAGATAGAGGAGTGAAACTATGCAACCCCCCCCCTGAAGAAGCTCTCTTTTGTTGATCCTGTGTCTCTGCTGCGAGACGATGGGAGTGTCCGGGAGCACAAACATAAACCTCCTCTATCCCTGGCATCTTGAACTTTTACATGAATCTCCTGACGCTTAAACCACAATTAAAATGTGAAATTAAGAGAGAATGAATGATCTGTTGGATGACGGTGTGTTATGCAGCGCAGAGACTGAATCTAAGTGAGCTGAGCCCTGGGTCAAATTGTAATTTTTGATGAGTCAGATGATATCTGGCCTCAGGGGAAGAGATTACAGGCAAACCTTTGCCATGACACTTCCTGGATTAGTCTGCCTTTTACTCATTTCTCCCTGCTTATGTGTTCCATCAATCTCGGACAAATAATTGAGCGAAAATGTTTCTTTTCTTTTAAGCCTTTGTTCTTCTGCCACAACTCAGTGTCCTGTCTTCCGTAGGTCATCGGGCCAGGGAGGATCAATCGATTTCAGAAATGTAACCAAATCCAGTGAATCCATTTCGACTCACCCTGGAGCTTCTTCAGCACGGCGACCTCCATCTTGAGCACCTGTTTGGGCTGCTGGGCCGACTCCACCTTCAGCGCCACGCTGACCCGCGTCAGGAGGTCCACCGCCTCGTAGATCTCCCCGAACCCGCCTCCCCCGATCTTCTTCGCCTAGAGGGAGATGATAAGACTTGACATCAGAGGAAATACCATACAGTCTGCGTAACTGGACAGCAAGGTGTACTTTTATAAAAGTGTGAACATAATGTGCCGTATCTTAGGAAAGTTAGAAGGTCAAAGTCAGTTACAGAACATCCTCCATGAGGTCTGTGGAGTTTTGCTCGATTATACTTCACAGTGGAGATTGCTCGTCATGAAAATGCTTTAAACTTTACTCTACTATATTAGATAATAACAGGGCTGCAACAAATGTTAATTTATTAAAAACAAATTTGACAATTGTTTACACAAAACAAATGCATAGTTTAATATAATATATATAAATAATATCTATAAAATGCCAGAAAAACGTGAAAAATCCTCATCACAATTTCCTAAAGAGACATATTTGCATTGTGTGTTAGTCCCCCTAAATATTCGGTTTAGTATGACAAAACAGGAAATAAATATAAATTAAAATCCTGACACAAAAGATGAATTATCAAATAAATAAATGATCAGAAATGATGGACTTTCAATCAGGGGATAGCAAGTTTGAGTCCCACTGCAGACAGCATGTCGTTGTGTCCCTGGGCAAGACACTTCACCCCAAATTGCTCCTGTGGGGATTGTCCACAGTACGTACACACACACACACACACACACACACACACACACACACACACACACACACACACACACACACACACACACACACACACACACACACACACACACACACACACTAGTGTTTAGCTGCAGCATTCTTATGTAACTCTGTTCATTAGAAGACAGCAAGTGGTGCCAGGCTGCCAGTGAGGACTAGCAGCCTCACATGGCACCCAGGCAGGCAGAGAAGTGAGGGGCCGGGGCCCTCCGGGGTACTGCTGCCAAAAGCACACTGCACCACCACAAATAGATATAAAGGCTATTTTTGGATCTCCTGTACTGCAGCAGGCAGGCAGCCCTAAGCAGACACAAAGACTCAACCCCAAAGAGTCCGACCCACAGGTGAGACACTTTAGAGGAAAGCAGGGGAAATCATTGTGTGAGGAACAAAGAGTTGTTGTGTTTTGACAGAGTGTGAGCCAAGCAGTGATGGGGCTGGACAAACACTCTGCCTATTGTCGCGGAATAACACGTCACTCACCACTTTCCATCGTTCCTTGACCAGGGAGAGCACGGTCAGGATGTCAGCTTGCTCTGTTCCCCCGCTCATCCCGTCTGTGGACCTGGGACGCTGTCCTCACTGCTTCCCCCCCCCTCGACCAGCGGCCTCACACTGACACGAGCATTAGTGCCTTGATGGAGAGCCCTGAGGAAGCCAAAGAGAGACACAAATGTTAGAAACTGAGGAACAACTCTCAAGGATATCAATAGAATTATTGTTTTTTAGGCTAATCTAACAACCTTTACTGTATGTACTTATGAATTGAGCCATAATGTACCAACTTTGAAATCATACTTTTATGTTGACATGTTCAGAATGATCCATTTCTGTATTTACACGGTTACTTGCATGTTATGTTATGTCTAACTTCCTTCTTTTACAATTATTATCTTTGTATGAAGTCTTACCTATGCTCTCCTGTGTTTGACTCTTATAAATGTTGCTGAAATGACACCTGAATTTCTCTATGGGGATGATAAAGTTTATCTCATATTATATTAATATGCACTGCTTCGAGATAATGCTCTTGGGTGCTTCAAAGGGAGATTTATTAGAGTTGAATATGCATAAACAGGGCTCCAGAGTGTGACCAATCTGTCAAATGCGACCCAACTGAACGTTTTTTTATTGGTCGCTTTTGTGGGCCTGACATTTAGCACGTCTGTCTCCATGTGTGTAATGTTCGAACTGGAGCCCTGTACTCCTCCCCACGGGACAACACAGCCTTACTTATTATACAGATAATTCAAAGTGAGGAGAACTTTTGATTGATATTTCATCCATAAAAATGCTTCAGGGTCGTCACACCTGTCCCAGACCTCTGATCACAAAAGAAGCCAAATATAAATGGCTTTTTCAGTTACAGTGGCTCAGATATGATGAAACATCCAATATTAGACAGTGCATTTTATTGCTAAGAGTCAGCCAAAAACTGCTTGAAGAATATACGTTCTGATTCAAAACGTTGCTTGTGACCATGACAGGTGTTTGGCTGGTAGACCGGCACCACCCCCCCCACCCCCCTGCAGCATTTTCAAGGAGCGGCAAACTCAAGCAGTGAGAAGGCCAAAATGATAATACACTCCAACAATGCTTAGAATACACAGTAGATAATATCCATAACGATTTGGATGCACATAAATGCAAACGTTTGTCTGCGGTCCTGTCCAATAGGCCTGGTTTTTGGACTGTTTGAACTACATGTGAAAGTTGGAGAATGTCCACATTGGAGAGACAAAGTTAAACCCCGGCTTAATGTCTGCAGCTTTCTGATACTTGACCATGGCAGCAGCTGCCACACCTGCTGCCAGCAGCTGGCCTTCTGAACAAACTCGCAGACAACATTCCTGTGTATTAAATTACAAAAAGGCTTCATCTGAGTTTCATTTTTCCAAGCAATTTATCTTCTGGGTATGACAGCCATGGAGCACGTCTCATAAGGAGAGTCTAGTCAGATATAATGAGTCTGCCTAATTTTCATTAGTTCTGGTTGTTATATGGGAGACAAGGTTTGCATCATTATAATTAAAAAAAAACTGTATTTTGAAGACTAAACTGTATGAAATTGTGGCACAAGTTTTTTCATTTATTGAACTGAATAATGTTTCACTAATTTGATTCGGATAACATTTTGTAACAGTGTTGCTTTACACGCGCCCTCTGACTGCTGACTACTGACTTTATGAAATAAATCACAGTAGCTCAATTGGGTTGCCACATTGGGAAATCCCTCTTATTATTATTTCTCTTTGATATCATATTTCATTAAAAAAACATACTTGGGGGTTAAACTCTCTCTATGTTCCATCAAGTCTGACGTTATACATGCTGATCAAGTTTTTAATAACACACATCACAGATCTGCAGCATTTTCTAGCAACAAAAAAAAAGCAACCCAGAGAATTTCTTTGCTAACTGGCAACCCAAAGGTTATGGCTTTTAACAGATTTATAAAATATAATTAAATTGTTTCTTAAAAGGCCATTAGTTAAACATCTTTATCAAAGGGTGACTTGTTTGAAAGTGGCTCCAATCAATCTACTGGCATGTTGCCCAGGCTTTTTTTTTTTGTACATAAACAGTTTGCTGTTTGTAAAACAAGGATCAAAAGAAGTTTGTCCTGGAAAAGTTGGGAACACACTCCTTTATTATCACTATTTGTACATCCATGTCTTAGATAAACATTCCTCAGGAGAGAACACGCTGATAACTTCCTTCAGACGGGCTTCAAATGCTTCGTTTCATCATTCTGCACACAGCGCGCTGGCATCTACCGTTATGCAACCAGCCTTCAAAACACTATTTGGTTACGAGGCATGATCCCGACATCAAGGAGGCAATCAATCCCATCATGCACCAGGGTGAGGTAGGATTGATGGAAGAGGGCAAAGCGTGGTTAGACTACATAACAGCGGAACAACAAGCATGAAATGTGACCCAGGGTTGAAAGTCAGGAGTAAGGTTAAACTTGAATACAGAGATGACAAGATTAGATGAGATGTCTCAGTAACATAAATCTCTTTTTAAAGACATGTTATCAATCTAATGGCCTTTGAACTGTATTCTTTTAGTATGCATGTCATAATGTTTGGATTTATTTGAATTACTGTGAACACTGAATGTCCAAGATTTATATTGAGGTTTCTTTCTTTCTTTAATAAAAAGGGCTTTTTTATGGTTTAAACAGTTTACAAAAGTCGAGTTCTTACTGTTCCCATCATTCCCTGAGGTACATGAATACATGTTCGTACAGCCAGGTATCTATACACAAATACAGCTATATAAATACATTCATTTAGATATGTTCAAAGATCCACATACAAGTAGATAAATAAGTAAATAAATCCTGAACCAAACTTCTACACAAGCCTCTTTCATGCACCAATTTATGTCAATGTCACGCACTAAATCTGCACGGTGAGACAAAGAGAACGGAGTAGGAGCCGCCTCGTAAAAACATCTGTGTAATTCTGGATGTTGTGTTAATCTGTGGCAACGCAAAAAACACAGAGCATGCCGTCAAAACCACAAAAGAACCATGCTGTAGAATCCCTTTTAACCGCAGAGGGATGAGAGAGACTGACTGTAAACCCTGATTAATAACCTCTGCTGTGAGGCTAATGTCACAACTTCAAGGTCACTAGTGTGGTCCTTCTTTTATAGGAAGGAAACGTGTTCTGTTACATCTGAGCTATCGTGCATGAGTCATTTCTGTAGGAACAGGATTGGTTGGATGAGCAATGCGAGAGATGGCTGACATTCAGCATCTACGGATTGTGAACAAACATTGGACAGAGAAGTGGAAAACATACAAGAAAAGAGGGATGTTTTTGTAGGACTTTGATACCTGACCTTTACACCATTGCATATGCTTTAAGGTCAAAAGTCTGAATAAGTCTTAGCCATCTTGTTCCCCTTTTATCCCTGAAAAACCGGAAAGATGAAAGATACTACCTGCCAGTCGTCTTTTTTGACTACATATGAGAAGCCACAACCCACATGTCTCTAACTCAAGCTTGTTCACACTTTGCACCAACACACACACACACATGCACAAACCTGGCCACCTCACGCTGGGAGTAATCTCACACCTCACAGAGAGGCAAGGCTCTGCTCTTCCTCCTCCGCCTCCTACTTGATATCAAACCTCCATGAATGAATACAAAAAAACTGAAATTAAACCAATGGATGACGACCGGCAGCTATCGTCTTCTCATCATGAATCACGCTTCCTGACCTCCTGCATCACCATGCCGACGATGGTGCAGTCCTTTTCTCATTTGCTGACTGCAGCTTGCCGTTGCCCTTTGGGTCTGCTGGAAGCTGCACGTTTTTACGGCTTCATAAAGCATTATGAAATGTGCTGCCACCCACAGAGGATTCCTCCCCAGTTAAAACTCAATCCTGCAGATGTTTATCAGTAAATATTGACAAAAAGTTAAAGAAAGACCACAGTTGCAACTTACTGTTGTTTTGATTTACGATTCATTTGTTAAAGTGCTGTTCTACAAAATGTCAAAAAAAAGTGAGTAATGTGCTTTCCAGTTTTACAAAATCCAAAATGATGTCTTCTTTTGTCAGTCCAAAACCCAAATATGAAAAATAACTTAAATAATAGTCAAAATGGTGGCGATAGCGTTACTGTTAATCGACTTAATTTTTTGTTGAGTGAGCTCTGATCCCGGAAGCACGCTATGATTACATGTGCAACACAACACATGGTTTAAGTGAGTATAGCTCCACTGAAAATCTGTTGGCTGTCTAATCTGTGTGTGGCCTGACTCAGTAGCAGGTCTGGGACACTTGTCTTGCTGCTGCTGGCTGAAATAAGTGTCTGGTCTGAGCCCTGGAGAGGAGCCATCAAGGGGGGGGGGGG